CTGGGCAGGGCGGGCTTCTATGCCCAACAAGTTAATATACTATATTAATTAACTAATTATTTATATCCTTCTAAATATGTAACTTTATTAAAATAGAAACTTAGCTTTAATTTTGTTATTACTAATTAATATACTATGAAACTACTTTTTGTAGTAGCTAAGAGGAGTGGACTATGACAAAAAATGTTGTTAGTATATTTTATTAAACTTAATTATTTTTCTAGTTTCTAACTCTCAAAATCATTCAAAAATAAATAAGTATAATGAATACTGAATATTGATATAACAATGCGTTTGATTTAGAAAATAAATATGAGGCAAATAAATATATATAAATAAAATTATATATATTTTTGTGGGCAGGGCCAAATGGGCAGGGCAGCATATCGTGCCCGATGCCCAGCCCTGCCCAACAGTTTGCCCAGCCCGAACATGCCCAATAGTTCTTTCGGGCCATTTTTTTAGGACAGGCTGGGCATTTTTTTGCGGGCTTGGGCGGGCATAGCAGGCTATTGGGCTTCATGAACACCCCTACTTCTTAGTCGTGCATGGTGACTTGAAAAAATTCCTATATCAAATAGCTAGTTGCATTGTATGAGTGCTAGGCAATTAAGAATTTCTTTTTTTATATACTAGTTCTGGTTTTTAATATAAGAGTTAGTTAACTAATTTAAATAGATTTGAGAAAATTAGTTAATTTAGTTATTTGTAATAAATAGGTATTGTTTTTTTTAAATACCATTACTAATAATGTGTATTGGCTAGAACTATTATTTAATAAAACTTTTATAACATGTGCAACTACTACGAGAACTATTCTTAAAAAAATAGATAAATATGAGAGACAAAATAGATTGGAGATTGATAGTACTATATTTTTCTTAGGTGAAATTAAAATGATATCAAAATATAGAGAGTATGTTACAAGACAAGGGGGGAAAAACAATAGAACAAAAGGATGAAAATGCTACAATACAGAAAACTATTATGCGCTTAAGCCATGGTACTCCTTGAAAAGGACTTCAGCATTATATTGGTATCTTCCTAATGGATATGATTGGACCTCAAATTGGAGTTCTCTTTCTAAGAGAATTTCCTGTTGATACATATAATAAATCCCCAAGGCGTCATTCCAAAACTTCTTCCAATACGTATGCCTGTTCCACCAATTTATGCTCTAGTGTTTGGGCAATGAATAGTAAATTTATTTAAAAATGCTCAACTTTGAAGGGTAATCATGGGAAGGGAATTTTAGGTCTGACATGTGCTCAACTTTTTTTGGACTGAAGACACGTGCACTACACAACTAAAATTTGGTATTTACTTATGTAGAAGAAAAAAAGTGATAAATATTAATGAAAGGGGACGAACTAACTATGTTGGTTTAAAACTAAAACGACATATTGTACCCAAAAAAAAAAAAGTAAAAAGACATGTGTCGTTACCAAAAGAAAAAATAAGACGACATAGCAAATATTGTACTGTCTACATCGTTTAACATAATAACGCTTATGTTAAAGAGTATAACGACATTGGAAATGCAATACGTCAAATTGATTTTCAAGGACTTTTTTCATAATTTTTCGGATTAACTAATGGTCAATTCTTTGAGAGAAACATTGCATCATTTGATAGTACCCAGTGCCTACAGAAAAAATAGTTTGAGAGTAAAAATACTTTTTAATGCTCAAATTTTGAGCCAGTAGTTAAGAAAAAAATAATCAAGATGCGGTAATTAAGTCCGTTTTTTACGGAAAAAAATTATCAACTATTTTTTCATTTACTTTATTGTTTGTTTACAAAAATCCTTAGTATTTTTCAAGGGCAAGAAAAAAACAAGAAAGAAATTAAAGACGGACGTAGAGTAGAAGGTATACAGAAAGTTTGAATTCAGAAAAATAAGATCCAAGTTCAATATCTTTTATTTGTCTTTGGCCGGGTAATTAATATGATCTTCAAGGTTTCTTACCTATTTGTTATTATATATTAATTTCTTATATCCGTGGATTTACAAACAAAATATAAAAATTAATCATGTCTCCTTTTAAAAATATTATCTGTATATTTATTTGGTCAAAAACTCCAAATCAAATAATATGCAGCTCAAAACAATAATGATAGAAGATGTAAGGAACAAGTAGTATATAAATCTTGTATTAATTGGCCAAAAGTAAAAATATAAAATAAAACATAACAGAGATTTTATGAATGAAAAAAATGCACTTTATAACTCAAAATTAAAAAAAAAATAATTCATTATTTAGTACCTTAAATATTACGTACTCCCTCCAATCCACAATATAAGTCATTTTAAGTAATTCATCAATATCAAAAAATAGTAGTTAACTCATTAAATCTATGCCAACTTGAAGTTTTTTTCAACTTTAGCGATATGTTAAATGAGGTTGCGAAAGAAAGAGGAATGCATACCCCTCTACTCTTATTTATAAGGCATTTTTAGCATGTTTTATATAGATCAGGAAAAATTTTAAACTGCATTAATTCTCTATTGAAATATAATAAATTTTTAACTTTACCTATATTTAATGTGTACATCTTTCAAAAAAAACTATCTACACCATAATAAATAAAGGATAAAATAGCAAATTCATTCAAAAACTTTAGAGAGAATTACAATGAGATCCTAAAGAAGAAAAATAATTACAAAACAAGTTCAAAATTTTTCATTTTCTACCATGAAACTTGTCATTACAGGTTGTTTAAGTTGTTATTAGGATTTTGTAGTAATTATTTTTCTTCTTTGCACCTCATTGTAATTCTCTCAAAAATTTAATAAAGTGATTTATAAATAAGTCCAAGAAAAACCTTCTATCACTGCCTTATAAATAAGACAAAGGAGTAATAAGTTACATTTAAGCCTTAATTACAGGAATAAAATTAACAAATAAGTATTAATTACTTTCCAATTGACTTATTTTTTGGGCCATATCATTCTGGACTTATATTTCTGAATACGAGGAAGTGTATGAATTCTTATGTACCGAAATAGATATAACTTTACGTATCAAAGGCGGCCTGACTTAATGGTGTATTGCAGAACAACGGACCTCGATCAAAACATGCAATTTCGGCCCAATTAATCTGCAGACTTGAGAATATTGAGAACCTGTGAAAGTCAAGGGACTAATTAGTGTTCAATTTCCTGAAGCTGAAATAAATGAAAACCCTATCATTCAAAGACTGAACCTATTATGATATGGCTGTTTAATTAATCCTATGCGTTCTTCTGCTCTTATCTCTTCTTCTTCTTCATCACTTAGTGGCTTCTCTCTCTCAGTGGAGAAAACCGGAAGATGTTATTCTCTCACCTAACAGGGTCTTCTCAGCTGGCCCCTACGCTATTGGTGAAAACGCATTAATGATATTGTTTCTTGTGATATGGCAAGATTATTTGTCTGTGCGACTCCAAAATTTGTCCTATTTTAATAAGGTAGTTGCATCATTCATGAGTTTGAAGCAATTGAGAATTTCCTTCTTTATATTTATGCTCTCTCTCTGTGTGTATATATTAAGACACAGAGAGAAATACAGAAGCAACCAATTAGTTTTGTTTTGGACGACTAAGCTAATCATTTTCTTCTTGTTAAAACCCAATTAATCTTTAATATTGCTGGCTAGCTCAGTATGACTTATGGTCAAGAATTTAAAATATATATTTCTAGTCTATTATGACTGCCACCACTATCATACTGTTACCAATATCATATCACCACTATCTGGACCACTACCACCGCCACTTCCCCTACCATCAATTAGCACTATTACCATTATTTGGATCTCTCAATATTGTCATACATATCCTCATTTCTCTTCTTGAAGCCTATGACCTATTCAATGTCAACTCTTTCAAAATTTCTTCCACTCCACCAATTGCTTCTGTGAATGTTCGGGGAAAGAGTTTTTCAATGTTATCCCAAATATGAGATAACAAAATGTTAATAAGTACTATGTCTGGTCCTAAATATAAGAGCTAGTTGATTAATTTGAATAGATTAAGAAAATAAGTTAGTTATTTGTTATAAATAGGTGTTGTATTTCCTAAAATATCCTTGCTAATCAAATGTATTGGCTAGAACTATATTATTAGAAAGACTACCTTAGAAAAAAATGAATAAAAATGAGAGACAAAGTGAATTGGGAGTCTTATATTTAGAATAAAAATAAAAGTCAAACAATGTTTTATATTAAGGACCGAAGGTAATATATACTACGTCCGGTCCTTAATGTAAGAAGTAGTTAACTAATTTGAATAAATTAAAAAAACTAGTTAAGTCAGTTATTTGTAAAAAAAATAGATGTTGTCTTTTTTAAAATATCCTTGCTAATCAAGTGTATTAGCTAGAACTACCATTATTACAATGACTATCTTGAAAAAAATAGATAAATATGAGAGACAAAGTAGATTAGGATCTTATATTTATTTAGGATCAAAATAAAAGTCAAATAAGTTCTTATATTAAACACAAGAGGTAGTATATTATTACCTCTAATCTTAATTATTAGGGCTAGTTTGTAGTGTAAATTAGGATAGAAAGTAGTATTTGAAAACATAGTGCATAGTAAACCACGGAGCTTTTTCATTCACCGGAAAAAACAAACCAGGTAACTAGCTTCTGATGAAACTTACATAGTGAATGTGCTCTACGTCAAAACAGTTTTCTGGGGCTCTTCAATAGATATTAAGTATCGGAATTTTTTAATAAATAGATATCTGAATTTTTATGTAAGGAAATCTAAATAACTTTACGTACCTGACTTGATGGATTATTGGAACAGACGTGTGGTCCTAAACTGAAGAACGTTCTGCGAAAGCTGTGAATTTTGAAGTCTAAGGACTGATGTTCAATTTCCAGCAGCCTAAATAAACAATAATTCTGCCAATCAACGACTATTTCCTAGCAATTCCCATCTTCATTTATATATGTGTGTGTGTGTGTGTGTATGAGAAGCCCATTTCTCCTTCGCTCATGCGTATTCATATGGCTGTTTCATCAATCCTACACGTTCTTCTCCTCTTGTCTCTGTCTTTTCAATGTTGTTCATCTTCATCACCATCACTTAACAGTGGTTTCTCCCTCTCAGTTGAGAAACCAGAAGATGTTATTCTCTCACCGAACGGCGTCTTCTCTGCCGGCTTCTACGCCGTCGGTGAAAACGCCTATGTATTCTCCGTTTGGTTCACTCGAAAACCCACCGTCGTTTGGACGGCTAACCGTGACCAACCTGTCAACGGAAAACGGTCATCACTTCGCCTCCATAAAACCGGAAACCTTGTCCTCTCTGATGCCGGACAGTTCAACGTGTGGTCCACTGACACTACCTCATCTTTGCCTTGGTTGACGCAACTGAATCTTACCGATAAAGGGAATCTAGTACTTTACGAGCTCCATCCTCAACAAAGCGAAATTCTATGGCAGAGCTTCGATTTCCCGACCGACACTCTACTTCCTGGACAACAACTCACAAGATACACAAAGCTTGTCTCTGATAGAAGCCTCACCAACCATTCCTCTGGCTTCTACCAGCTTTCATTCAATGATGACAACATCCTCAGCCTTTTGTACGATGGCCTTGATGTCTCCAGCAAATACTGGCCAGTCCAATGGCTAGTAAGTTGGGATGCAGGAAGGACCACATACAATAGTAGCAGAATCGCAGTGTTAGATTCCATTGGAACTTTCAATTCAACAGATAATTATGGATTTACGACTTCTGATTATGGGGTTGTAATGCAAAGAATATTGAAACTAGATTCTGATGGAAACATTCGAGTGTACAGTCGACGGAAGAATGATCCCTGGTATGTGTCGTGGCAAGCCATATCTAATCCCTGTATTGTTCATGGACTTTGTGGTGCTAACAGCACGTGTGTGTATGATCCTATAGAAGGAAGGAAGTGTTCGTGTCTTCCTGGATATAGAGTGAAGAACCATAGCGATTGGTCTTACGGGTGTGAACCCACATTTAAACTCTCATGCGATAAGAATGAGACTGCTTTCTTCAAATTGCCAGGTGTTGAGCTATATGGGTATGACTTTATTTACAAGAAAAACATCAGTTATAGTGATTGTGAGAATGAATGCTTACAAGATTGTGAGTGCAGGGCATTTCAGTACTCACTTAACAATGACGGCTTATTTCAGTGCTATACGAAAAGAGTTCTTCTCAATGGTCGTCGATCACCAGACTTTAGAGGAACAACCTACCTGAGACTTCCTAAAGCCAAAAGAAACAATGTTTCGTTCTTTGCAGATGAAGAATTTGCTCAAGATGATGGTCATGTTTGTTCAGTGAAGCTGGATAGGTCCTATGCCGAGAGTCATGTCAGCAGTTTTTTGAAGTTCTTTCTTTGGTTTTCTGTTGCAATTGGGGTGTTTGAAGTCCTCTTCATTTCTATAACTTGGTTTTCTTTGATAAGAACCAAGCAAAAATCTGATGGAAATCAACAAGGGTACAATTTTGTTTCACCTTTTGGGTTCAGAAGATACACTTACTCTGAGCTAAAACAAGCAACAAAAGGGTTCACGGAAGAAATTGGAAGAGGAGCTGGTGGAATTGTGTACAAAGGAGTATTGCCAGATCAGCGAATTGCTGCAATAAAGAAGCTTCATAATGACAACATTGGAGCCAAACGAGATGAAGCAGAATTCCTAGCTGAAGTGAGCATTATTGGTAAGCTAAACCACATGAACTTGATTGAAATGTGGGGGTATTGTGCTGAGGGAAAGTACAGGCTGTTGGTTTACGAATACTTGGAGAAAGGTTCTTTAGCAGAAAATCTCAAATCAAACACCTTGGATTGGACCAGAAGATACAACATTGCTCTCGGAACAGCAAGGGTTCTAGCATACTTACACGAAGAATGCTTGGAGTGGATTCTACATTGTGATATAAAGCCTCAGAATATTCTTTTGGATTCAAATTACCAACCCAAGGTAGCAGATTTTGGTTTATCTAAGCTTCTAAATAGAAGTGACCAAAACACTCAAAACTTCTCAATGGTAAGAGGAACGAGAGGATACATGGCACCTGAATGGGTTTTTAATTTGCCAATAACATCAAAGGTGGATGTGTATAGCTTTGGGATTGTTGTGCTGGAGATGATAACAGGAAGGAGTCCGACGATGATGGGAGGTCAGAGTGATGAAGGAGAAGAAGCACATAATGAGAGGCTTGTGACGTGGGTGAGAGAGAAGAGGAAGACAACGACGTCGGAGGAGGAAGGGTCGCCGTCATCGTCTTGTTGGGTGGAGCAAATAATTGACGCAGCCATTGGATCGGAGTTTGAGGTTGAGAAAAAGAAGATGGAAACTTTGGCAAGTGGGGCTTTGAAGTGCGTGGAAGAAGACAAAGATGCGAGGCCCAGCATGAGCCAAGTTGTTGAGATGCTTCAAAGCCATGAAGATGCTTAATTAGCTAGTTTCTACGTAGTCATGCATGTTTGGGGTGCTTTTTGTTTTTTTTTTTTTTTGGAGGGGGGGGTTTGCCTTTGTTATTTTGTAGACTGAAATCGTGTTTTCTTCCATAATAAAATCCTTTTTCTTTTGTAAGAAAATGGGCCAGTACACCCTTGGTGGATTGGACCCAAGCCTAGTATCATTTGGGGTCCAGGTATAAATTACAAAACATATGGGTCCTTAACTGCAGTTTTAGCCTTTTTATATGACATGCAAAATGGGGGGAACGGTTGGACTAAGGAAGCGGTTTATTAATTTCAAACGTGGGGAGTTACGTAACTGATCCAAGGGGGATCATTTTCAGAGAATGCGTTTTTCTCCAAAAAGGCAGTACGTTCCTCCAGACCCCCTACTCTCTGAACCTCTCCTTCTTTGTGTATTTGTTGTGTCTTGAAGATCCGAGTTCCTACAGTAACCGGACCTCCGCGTGGCTATCTGAGACTATCTTATACTTCAGGTACGCCCGAAAACCATCATTGGTATCAGAGCAAGGTTTTTAACAAACCATTTCTTCCGCTGCGCCACTCTGATTTGTGTAGATTCTGTTTATTATACTTCAGCGCATCGGTTCTTTTACTCCGGTCCTCTTTTTTTTTCTTCAGTCTGCATTTTCTTTTCATATGTGTGTTCGTTCACTATTTTTGGTAAACATATGTATGCTAGATTACATATATAAGTGAGTACAAGAGTCCTAGAACAGACAGAACACGAGGGAAATGCTTAGAACGCACCAAGATAGAAACAAAGGACCGAAACCGTGAATGGGTCATTGAAAAACCACAGATTTAGGCTTCAAATTTAGTCCCATTATGTAGGCCTCGCAAAAACGAGAAAAATGGCACCGGTTTCGTCGAAAACGGACGTCGGACGGTGAAGTTACGCCTGAAAACGTGTTCGGGTCCGTCGGACCCGACCCGTGAACAGTACCGGGTCGGACGGACCCGGCTGGAGGTTGAAGACAACCTCCAGCCCCCCAAACGACGTCGTTTTGACGTCATATAAAAAAAAAAAGGGTTTTTTACTGGGCTGGACGTAGGATCCAGCCCAGACCACACAAAAAAAAGGAGGGGAAACCGTGTACTGGGCTGGAGGCAGGATCCAGCCCAGACCAAAAAAAAAAAAAAATGTGAAGGTAACCGGTTGGGCCGAGATGGACCCAAACCCAACCGGTCCAAATTACTTTTAAATTAAAAAAAAAAACAAAACGAATTTAAAAAAAAAAAAAAGGACCAAGCAGCGCCACGTGGCGCGTTCTGCCACGTGGCACCCCACCTTGGCACGTGGGGACCACCACCTGACAGGTGGTGGCGCGTGGAATCCGAAGGCGCGGCGCGTGTCGTCGGCATCAAGCTTCATGGTGGCGCGTGAAGTACACGCGCCGACAGGGCGAGTGGGAAAAATATTTTATTCATTTTTTCGCTAATTTTTCCTTCTAGGGGCGCGTGTAGGCGCGTGAAGGGTCCGTTTGAGGTGCGGTTTGTCTATAAAAATCCCTAAAATCAAGATATTTATTTTGATATATAATTTGGTAATTTTGGAGATAATTAAGGATCTATTTGTGAGTATTTTCAGTGTATTTTCTGGTATTTTTCATGCGGAAATAAATTCCAGAATATTCAGAATAATTTAAATTATTTTGTTCTAGGTGAAAATGAAGCAAGAGGCTTCTAGTAGCACTGAAAATATCCAAGATGGTTCATTGGAATACTCATACATGGATAATGCAGTTCCAGAATATGAGCCAGAGGATGAGGATCCTGAAGAGGACCCTGAAGAGGTTCCTCAAGAAATCCCGGAGGAGTTAATGGATTCTGGACCTAAATCAGAATCTTTATTTTCCACTGAACCCCTCCGTACCGAACCTCATTTGGTCTGTAATGATTCGCTAGATCTTCCCAATAAAACCGAAGTAGAGGAAGGCGAAGAGGTGGATCAACCCTGTACCCCTGCTTTAGCTATGAGAATAGCTGAAAGTGATGCAGCTAAATTGACAAACATAAAAGGCATCAATGGTGTGCTCGCTAGCTACGTCCATTACATGACCGATAAGAAGAATACAGAGTTCTACCTAAGAGTCATAATGGAGTACATAAGAGCAATAAGAGTTAGAGGCGGACCTAAAGGCAAACCCATAAGAAAGTCTTACTGGATCTGGGCCATAGAGCTAGTGTCCTCCTTTATGAACAAAACGCGCAAACTTAGAAGCCTAAGAAAAGCAATGCTTGATTACATTTATGTTCATATCAAATGATGTAATATTTGTATTCGCCTTGAATTTGTGATTTCATGCATTGTAAACAGACTAAGTATGTTATTTCATTTATTGAAATTACTTGAATTATTGTTGTATGATTATTTATGAATATCATATGTATGCCTTTTATAAGTGGGAGCTTTTAGAAGATAAGACTTCTAAAAGTCATAATTTTTAAGTGCTTATATAAAATCCTTGATAGGAAATAATGTTTGTTGCTTGTATCTGTGTGATGGGAGGTACAAACGTATGCTCTTGATCATAGATCTTGCAGCATCATTACTTTCTGATCAAGGATGATATAAGTACAAGACATTGTATACTTCGCTGTGCTATATATAACTAAGATGTTCTCTGGTACGTCTCTTTTAGAGAGAACGTAGAATAATGTGGGATAAATTTGCTTCAGAACTGAAAATGGCAACCAAGAACATAATTGCTGAGCTTAATAAGGGAGAAAAGCTCAACGGGGATAACTGGGACATATGGCACCGAAAGGTTCAATACATCTTGGAGGAACAAGATGCGGTTGAACCTCTAACCACTGCAATGGTCGAGCCTGAAGTTGGCAATACGGCCCAACATAGGAGAGACCAAGAGGCTTACCTAGTGTGGAAGAAGAAAAACAGCATAGCAAGGATTACGCTTCTGAGTGCCATGGCTGATGATATTATGTGCGAGTTTGAGAGGCACAAAACTGCACAGGCTATGTGGATAGCGTTAAAGGACAAGTTTGGTGGTACTTCTACCACTAAACTTAGAAGGTTGACGATTAAGTTCGACACCTATAAGCTCAAGCCAAACAATCCAATGAAACAACATTTGAGAGAGATGGCCAACATGATCAGAGAACTTAAGGAAGCAGGCCATGTCCTCTCTGATGAACAGCAAGTGCAGGCTGTTATCAGATCGCTTCCTGCTAGCTGGGAACACATGAAAGTCAACCTGACCCATAATGAAAACATCGTTACTTTTAACGATGTGGCCAAACACTTGGAGCTGGAGGATGAACGTTTAGAGGCTTACAAGACCTCTGGACAAGCTTATTACACCGAGGATGCCGGTACTTTCCAATCAAGGCCTGATTCCAAAAAGGGCAAGAAGTTTCAAAAGAAAGGGAAGAAGGGTGGTCCTCAATCCAAAAAGGAAAGAAGCAATTCAAGAAGAAGGGAAAGAAAGGTGGGAAGAAGAAGCTAGACCTGAAGAAGGTCAAATGCTTTGCCTGCCAGAGAATGGGCCATTTCGCACGTGACTGTTCAAAACAGGCTGAAAGCGAAAAGGTATTAGTGGATTATGTGAATTCACATGTTTCATATGTTTCAAGTACTGTTTTTCTAACAGAACCTGTTTTTCTTCTTGGATTATAGACTCAGGTCCACAGACCACGTAACCAGGGATCGAGGATCCTTTATCGAGTACCGTCGGTTACCGTATCAAAGCAAGTGGCTTTACGTTGGGAACAACGCGAGGATCGAGGTTAAAGGTTTGGGCACCTGCAAATTTACTTTGCGTGGTGGGAAGACCTTGATACTCCATGATGTACTTTATGCTCCTGACATCCGGCGGAACTTGGTTTCTGTATTGTGTCTGTTAGAATTTGGGTTTAATGTAAACTTTCATGGTAAAGTTGCAGACATTTTTAGCAACTCAGTTCTTTATGGTTCAGCTTTCCTGTTTAAGAAGTTCTTTGTTTTAGATATTGTTGGTGATTTCAATAGTAATGAATGCTTTGCTGTTTCTTCGAATAACATTGATATAAACACCTGGCATGCTAGACTAGGACACATTAATCAAAATAGAATGATTAAACTGGCAAAAGAAGGATTGTTGGGTGCCATTCCCAATATGGAAATGTCACTATGTGAGAACTGTCTAGCTGGTAAGGCAACAAGAAAGCCTTTCGGTAAGGGAAAAAGGGCTGAAACTCCATTGCAATTAATCCATTCTGATATTTGCGGTCCAATGAGTGTGAGGGCAAGACACGGAGCTTGGTATTTTATTACCTTTATTGACGATTTTTCACGATATGGTCATGTCTATTTGATCTCGCATAAGTCTGAAGCTCTTGAGTGCTTTAGACGATACACAAATGAGGTAGAGAATCAAATGGACAGTAAAATTAAAGCATTACGAACTGATCGAGGTCGTGAATATTTATCTGATCAATTCAAACAGCTCTGTGAAGAAAAAGGGATAATCAGACAACTGACTATCCCTGGCACTCCACAACAAAATGGGGTTGCTGAAAGAAGAAACAGAACTCTTTTAGACATGGTTAGGTCAATGATGGCTCAAGCAAACCTGCCAATTTCTTATTGGGGTGATGCTTTGTTAACGGCTACCTTCATACTTAACCGTGTACCCTCAAAATCAGTCGCTTCCACACCCTACGAGTTATGGACAAAACGCAAACCAGATCTAAGCATCTTGAGACCCTGGGGGTCAGCGGCGTATATCCATGATGCTTCTCATAAGCATGGGAAGTTGGGTCCCCGAGGAAAGAAATGTATCTTCATAAGGTACTCTGAACAATCAAAGGGATACGTTTTCATAGGTGAAAACGAAGATGGAACCGTGACTGAAATAGAATCAAGAGATGTAATATTCATTGAGACTGAATTTCCTAATAGAGGAGATGTTGACCGTACTGTTTCTCTCTATGAGACACAGGAACAAGACAGTACAGAACAAATTGACAAACCAGAATCGTCTAGGTGTGTCAATCTGAGTGGGAGCCAAGAAAGGTCAACCCAAG